CAAAAACTACGGCCAATACCAAGAAAATGGAATATTAACGTGACCACGAAGGACAAAACAACACTCCACAAGTTTACCCTTACAACAAATTGGATTGCTCTGGAGTTAACTGCCTAGCATGCGGTATCTGGAAACAAAAATTTATTTTAGCGAAACGGCGACAAAAACAGCATACGAATCAAGGAAAACTAGTTCAGTCCATTTATATTTTTTTATTGTTGTCGCATAAAATAAAGTTGTTAATTATGATGAAAAACCCTTGAACAATTTTTGCCTAACGGTTTTTACTATTTCGTTCGGAATATTTTCACTGAGTTTGGTTAATTAAATTTAGCTACTCTCGAAATAGCTGTTTTGCTTTTAGTTCTCGTATGATCTATCCTTTATAATGATACCGTTTTTGTAATGATATGGTTTCTCTTAATAGGTAAGAATATTGTAGAATAGCGGAAAGGAAATGCCGCTTATTATTGTATAAAAACTGGATATAGAATAATCTCATAATAGATTCATGTTGGAGTAGAAGGGATTCGTAAGTTGGTTACACCGAAGGCTAGGGTAAGGTTGCCTTGGAGCTGTGGTTGTAGATTTATGCGAGTAGGTCCTCGGCGAACCTTTCTGCGACCCAGATGAATCCTTGCTGAGCTTTTGTTCGGCATGTGACAGACATCGTAAGAGCAGGACACCATGGTTAACGATAATTCACCAAAAACACTGAGATAAGAAAGGTGACTGGCTTTAAACCTACTTTCTTCTTAAATTCCAATTTGCTCCACTTATACCAGTCATGTCTTGGTTGGATGACCTGTGCTTTGCCTCTATATGTGTTTTGCAACTGTAATTATCCAGCCCTCCTAGATAATTATTATCAACCAAAATTATCATTATTCTCTTTAGTTCATTGTCCTGATGTTTATCATTTACAGGCGCAGGCTCCTTAGTATCCTTGACTTTATAATTCCTACTTTAACCCTATGAGTGTGGTTGGAGAAAAAATTCTAAAGAAAAGTTGCGTCTGCTTAATCTAGTTCCCTCTTAGCTGCTAATAAAAATCTCTGAATGTTGGTCTAGTGTGCATTGCAGGGCCTGTATGGCATCTTCTCTAGGCGTGTTAGTGTACATGCACTCAACACTAAAAATTACCGGCAAGTCCCCTCTATCTTTCTTCTGCTCGTCGATTTAGTCAATTCATAAGAATTCTTAACTGAAACCTCCCTAGTCTCGGAGGTTTGCTTTAACTGGTTATAAATAAATCGTGCTGCTTTATGCATCACACCTCCATTATTATTCACAATAATTCTGAGTGGCACTACATCTTTGTGTATTTTGGGTAGACCATATGCTTTCGGAGACCTAGAATCTCGTTGCAGAATCGTGTTGATCTTTCACTTTTCCAGTTCTCTGTTTGTTACGCAACGCTGCAGGCAACCCATAAGTCTAGATTTCAAGGTTTCTGTAGGGTTCCTAGTGAGTACCTTGTACCTGGTTTTGACTCTTATATCACACTCATTTCAAGAGCAATGCACTCACAGCACGTGTGCAATGGGGCGCAATCGTATGCGGTAATATTTCAGGATCAAAGGCATAAGTGCTTTATGAAATGATGCAGCTGCTCGGTTAATTTCTTGGTTCTTTATACACATTTCTATCTATTCTGCTCTCCTCTGCTAACTAGAACATCAAGAAAAGGTAGGCCATCTTCATTTTCATAACTCGATGGTGAATTCCGTCTTTCCATCGATCCTCTTAATCAAACCAAGAAAATTCTCTAGGTTTTCTTTGCAATGCTGTCAAATAGCAAAGTAATCGCTCATATAGCGAGCTAGTATTTTAAGAACTAAAAGTACATCCTGAATGTGGTAGTGCCTCTGTGAAAGAGACTTGTAGGCCCATATATACGAGGTTTTCCGAAGACAACACAGCCCGCAAGGATATGTGGGTCTAAAAATTGGAATTGTCCGAACACGTCTCGTACAGGACACCAGATAGATTCGTCTTAGTCCAGTAAGCAGACACCCTGAATAAAAGAAATAAGTGTAGGAAGTTAAGCGGAAATTAAATGTGGCTGTTGGATATGTTTAGACAGACAGGTCTCCTCCACCGAGTAAGAGGAGGTTTGATTCACTGGAACTTGGTTTTGACTCTCACATCAAATTTATTTCAAGAGCAATGCACTCAAACAACACGTGCAATGGGACGCACTCACATGCGGTAATATTGCAGGATCAAAGGCACAAGTGTTTTATGGGAGGATGCAGCTGTTCGGTTTCAATTGCACCCATTTCACCCTTACTCTGTAGCCACTTCACATGTCATCCGCAGCCACTTATTTTATGAGCAAATATAGAGGCAAATCATAGTTTATCCAAACAAGACATGAGTGGTATAAGTGGACCAAATTGGAATATAAGAAAGGAGTAGGCTTGAAGCCAGACACCTTTGTTGCCTCTGTATTTTTGATGAATTATCGTTAACCATGGTGTCCTGCTCTGACGATGTCCGTCACGTGATGGACGAAAGCTCAGCAAGAATTCATAGGGGTTGTTGAGCGTTGCACCCAGGACCTATTCGTACCAATCTACAACCACAGCTCCAAGACAACCCCCCCCAGACTCCGGTGGAACCAACTTACGAATCCCTTCCACTTTCCTCTTCGAACGAAATGGTACTCCAATATGCCGCTTATTATTGGTTGTAGAATTTTCAATAGCGATTCAATTATATTCCTATAACTCTTTTTACACACCATCTACACTAACTTAGTATATTGACTTTTGGCATCTATTTTTTCATCCTTTAAAAAAAATATAGGTTTAGAAGGTGGCTTCCATGGAGGGGCTTTGTCGGGTTCGCTACACCCTGGGTTCTACTTACCTCAGGCTAGCCGACCTAGTATATTGCCTCGTATAACTCAACTGAACTCAAGATTTCCTCGACCTCGTGGTCCGCCTCTGCCTTCTGGTGCCGGACCGAATGCTGGACCCCGTATAGTTGGCCACTTTCGAGGAAGCCCTTCCCCAAGATTGCAACATACACGAGGTGCAGGTCTGCGTATGTGGTCTCGTGAGAACAGTGTTTGTCCACGTGGCTCTACCTCCTTCGGTTTGCGACATCCATATCCTGGTAGCAGCAGCGGCAGTGGAAGCTCTTATAGCCAAGCCACACCACTTTGGTTTCATGCCTCGGTTGCTGCTGCCAGCAGTCATCATGCAGCTGCAGCACGCAACATTCAGTCAACACTAACGTCAGCAACTGATTCTACCTTCTTAGCCTCCGTTGACTTGAACTCCACGGGCAACGGCGATCTTGAAGATCGACCTGTTGGAGGAAAATCTTCAGCTACAGGCGGCCGTAAGCCTACTGGTCTGGAGACCGGGGATTGTTAGCCATCGTTGGAATTTACCGCGGTTGGAGCTCATAATTTTAGTTCTTCTTTTGAAGGCATTCTAAAAAGCTAACTTTTTCATATACATATGCCTGTGTTTACCCTCCTGATGTGGGGAAATTTTCCTTCTCTTTGGTTGGCAGGTTTACTTGAGATGATTGTTTCTTCACCCACGCATGCAAAATTTCACACATGCAAACATCAAATTGCCTATTTCTGTGTAGAGGCTAAGCGTAAGAACAAGATTTTACATACTATAATCGACATTGCGAGTGAAGCGCATGTCTCTATATCAGCCTCTGTGTGTGTAATCTTAATTTTGCTTCATGGATTTTTTAAGGCTGTTTCATTTATATTTCCTTTTCACAATGCGTTGAAAGCCACTTCCCCTCCGCTCTTTCCATCACCTCTTCTCATGTTAACTTTTGGGCTGGACATTTTTGTAGCCTCATATTTTGTTAAGATCACAAACAAATGTATATATGTGATTAAGCAATAAATTTGATGCTCCATATTGTCATTCGCATTCTGCTCATTAATGAGTGTCCTTATATAGAACACCGTAAAGATTCCTATTTTGTTATAAGAGATGTATTCATCTTATTTAATTTAAGGCTGTGAAGGACTGGTAGCTTAATTTTTTTATTTTGTGCCAGTTACTTCTCATTTACAAGAAATATTTTGATGAATTGATGCGAGTAGTAAATTTTGTGTCTCATTCTCAACCTGCCTATTTCACTAAATCTCATCATTTTCTTTTGAGCCTCGTTGCTAAATCTGCTAACAAAATGACGGATGATCCATTGTGATTAATCCCTTCGGAAAAGATTATAAGAAGAGGAAAGTGTTCACGCTAAAGAGCTCGGTTGAATGATGTCACAAGGACTATTGATTTGAATACCTATGATTATTTGAAAAGGCTTCTTTATTTTCGCAATAAATTTTAACATTCTCTTCACGAATGCATTATCCATCCTAGATTGCAGCTTTAACTTCATACGCACTACTGTTTTCTAATTTCTAAACAGATTATTCGTCAATTAATTTGACTCGGGGTGTGAGTCAACTGCGCTATGCTTGAGCACATGTAACAATTGCGGTAGGGGATGGGCTATTCGAACCTTCACTGTATACATCATTAAGTTGCGAAAATAAGATTAAACCAATTTACCTCGAAGTATACGCTTCACTTCAGGCGCTATTTCTCAAGCTTTCAGTAGGACGCACACTGTTGACTCATCGAACAGAGCGCCTAGGCTCCGATTCCCATGCTTGCAGATATTAGGCATTGCCTTAACAGATCTTCTTGATTGAGCCCGTGTTCGCTGAGTAAACTCTGCACGTCTATCTCTTGTCGTCTGCTGGATATCGAGTGGATTTCTAGTCATTTTGTCTATAAAGCCAAATTTCCAAGACGGTTGTAATTATTCATCGCCCTGATAAGACTGCCAGGTCCCCAAAGTTGTAGTTGCTTCTTTGAACAGACCTCTCTCACTAAGAACTACTTCGCTTTATTTCCGAAACTTCCCCACCCGCTTCCTCATCGCGAATACATTTCCTATGGTCCTTGATCCAGACGTCTCCTTTTTCCTGGCCTTGCTGTATTCATATTTTCTTCAAGCTTGCTTAAAAAATAGGTAATATTAACAGCAACTCCGCCTACTTCAAACCTTTTCATTACATTCCTCTCCTTACTGGTGCCAATGTTCTCCCTACTCTTCCATTTCCATGTGTTTTCACCGTATGCGGTCCTTATTTCTGAATACGTGCGAAGTATTCATCTTGGTATCACACAAGCACTCTTGGTTGCAGTGGTGACGTCTTGAAATAATCTTATAATTTGGTCATGTATGCATTTGCCATTAGAGGTGAGAACAACGATCCCATAGTAACTACAATTATTTGTTCCTAGACGTTGCCGTTAAATATGAAGTATGTAGTTCTTATTGTATAGTTGATTACTCGTGTAAACGACTCCCTCCTTCGCTTTCAGTCTGCTAAGACTGGCAATCGTTCATATATCGTTTCAGAACTAGGAGGGACCCACAAGGTGTGTCCAACCAAGTCGCCCTGACAACATGACCAAGTAGCGAAAACGAGATCGGACTATTTCTATACATTAAGAGGAGACTTCAACAAAAATAGAGGCTTCAATCTGGATCCTTATATCTACATTTAAATAAGCTATACCTTAAGCCTACAAGTCATTGCAAACGGTCGCAAGATTGTTTTTTCCACCTACACATAGATTCACTCGGTGATTTACCCCTTATAAACCTGTTAATTCGGCCTTTTTGATTCTTAATGTTTCGTTTAGAATTGGGGCGTATGAGAAAAATTATTGGGCTCGGTTCCATTTTGAGTGCCAAAGCCAGATAAATATATCGATAGGTAGATCTCATAATAGGACTTCGGATTCCCATTTGCTACCTCTATTTTGGTTTCTCTATGATATTCTGATTGATTGAGTCCTTGGTTCCATTATAGTGAAAGTGACCCCCACCACTTTTTATAGCTATCATCCCGATTGCGCACTGTCGGATACATTTCAGAGTAATTTGATCAGCTTTTATGTCCGAGTACGTGTGACGGAGACAATAAACTTATACGTGTTGTAAGTGCGTTCTTAATTAGACGGCTCAACACCATCCATATTCTTAACTATTAATTGAGCACAAGTAATTATTAATTTTTTATATCTCTTCCTTAAATTCGATCTTGTACCTAATAGGCTGATTGAAGTGACCCTTTCAATTTCCGCTTGGCTGTATATTAAGATCATTCCATCTAATTTCAAGTTTATGCCACTGCTAATTTGGACCCAATAGCTACTTTGATTTTAGTCACCCTATGTCGAATAAGGGAATAAGTATTGCCAACAAAAAAGCGTCCACAGGACAAAATTATTTTATTGCAGCCTGATCTAAATAACTTGTAAAATTTATTCCCAAAGGTAGGCATAACGTCTGGGAATGTACCAAGTCGACGATCCAACTCTAGAAATTATCAAGCATACTATGGAGTCCCGACAAGTTGCGTTTCTCTAAGTCTTCCTGCCAATATGACCAAGTTGCGAAAACAAGGTCAAACAACTATTATAAATAAAGAAAGTTTTTTACATTCTTTAAAAAGATATCTTATTCACCACTTCTCTACCAGTTTGCCTACCTTTTTAGCAAGGACTCAAGAAGGCAAAATCAAGGCATGAGAAGAGCTATGCTTTTTTTATTTTTTTATTATTTCTCATCTAAACGTGCATCCCTTACTAATCTAATATTATTTTTAATTGAGCTATGAAGTAATATTATTACTAAATCAACAATTCTATGTTTACAATTTTTAATACTGTTCTAGCATGGAACAAAAGACTGGGTATGTTCCACGACCAAGTTGCCGAAGCGGAACCAAGCGATATAATAGTTCATTATCACACGTCTCTTTATACTCATCCTAGAGTCCGAATAACCAGTGATTTTAAAATACCAACCTTCATTCTGTAACTGGTTGATAAAGAATTTCATGATAAAACTATCATTTTCTAACTTATATATGCTTGGACAATTTTACTTACGCTCTTATTTTCCGTCGCTTTTTATATTGTGAATATTGTATTATTATCTATCTGTTT